ACCTTCTACCTACAAGAAAGTGTTGGCGAGCCCCAACTCAAATGAATGGCTTGAGGCCATGAAATCCGAAATGGAATCGATGTCTGAAAATGCTGTGTGGACCCTAGTGGAATTTCCTAATGGGGTAAAACTTATTGGTTGCAAGTGGGTTTACAAGATTAAAACAGACAAGGATGGAAATGCCTACATCTATAAAGCAAGACTGGTTGCAAAAGGATACAAATAGATTCACGGTATTGACTATGATGAAACCTTTTCTCCATTAGCAATGCTTAAGTCCATTCGGATTCTTCTAGCGATTTCTGCATTTTTTGATTACGAAATTTGGCAGACGGATGTCAAAACCACCTTCTTGAATGGGTTCTTGATGGAGGAAGTGTATATGACACAACCTGAGGGTTTTAAAGATCTAGAAAATCCTGGAAAGGTATGCAACTTTAGAAATTCATTTATGGATTGAAGCAAGCATCAAGGAGTTGGAACCTTCGTTTTGATGAAGCAATCAAACAGTTTGGTTTTCTCAAAAGCGAAGAGGAAAATTGTGTATACAAGAAGTCCAGTGGGAGCAGCATAGTATTCTTAGTCTTGTATGTATATGACATACTTCTCATGGGGAACGACATACCAATGCTAGAGTCAATCAAGGACTGGTTCAAGAGTTGTTTCTCCATGAAAGACTTGGCGACGCCGAGTACATTTTGGGAATCAAGATTCATCGAGACAGGTCTCGAAGGATGATTGGGCTGAGCCAAGAAACTTATATTGATAAGGTTCTTGATAAGTTAGAGATGTCAAAATCCAATAGAGGATTTCTCCCCATGTTTCATGGCATTACGCTCAGTAAATCTCAATGTTCGGTTACACCAGACGAGATAAGACGTATGGCGATTATACCTTATGCTTCGGCAGCAGGGTCAATAATGTATGCCATGATTTGTACAAGGACGGATGTTTCATATGCTCTAAGCATGTGTAGCAGATTTCAGGCAAACCTAGGAGAAGCACACTGGACAGCTGCCAAGAACATCCTTAAGTACTTAAGAAGGACTAAAGGAATGTTTCTAGTATATGATGGCGAAGATGAGTTGGTTGTCAAAGGTTATACCGATGTGAGTTTCCAAACAGATAGAGATGATTTTAAATCCCAGTCTGGATACATCTTCTGTCTGAATGGAGGAGCAGTGAGATGGAAGAGTTCGAAGCAAAGCACTGTCGCAGAATCTACGACAGAATCAGAGTATTTGGCTGCTATTGAATCAGCTAAGGAAGCAGTTTGGATAAAGAAGTTCCTAACTAAGCTGGATATCGTACCAAGTGCTCAAAAGGAAATAGAGTCGCATTGTGACAACAATGGCACCATTCCTCAATCAAAGGAGCCTAGGTCACACTTCAAATCCAAACATGTTGAGAGGAAGTATCACCTCATTCGAGAGATCGTTGGCAGAGGAGATATCAAGATGTGCAAAGTTCATACGGATGAGAATGTCTCTGATCTACATACTAAACCCCTTCCATTGCCTAAGCATGAGAACCACACTAGTGCAATTGGATTGAGGCTAATGATGTAATTTAAGTTGTATTTGTTTTTGTAAAAAACTTATTACATATGTAATACGTTCATTTGCAGAATTATGTTTAATCAGAAATTTATCATTTCTCTTATTTAATCGTGGTTTCAATATTAAATAAAATTTCCAAAATAATTATGGATTGATGGACTCGTCATGTTAGTTTATTTAAATAACCTGGTGAATGAACCCCACAGGTGAACAAAATCCATACATTATTCCAGTTCCTAGTCTAGAGTCATTAAAGTGGACATAAATGATCTCTTTAAATGGACTAGCATGTAAGATTGATTGGATAACGCTGTTTCTTAGGCTATAGGAGCGTAGTGAAGCTCGGTCAATCACATGGGTATGCATGAATGATGCATGATCGAACTATAGATCTACTTTGAAGTTCAAGTATAGAGCTTCCGGATATATAGTGGATTCCTTTAACATGAGTGGAACATTGATTTCATTCAATGATTGATGTAAATGTGTACATTCAAACATCTTCCCGTAACTGGAGAATATAAGGGGTGTTTCCTGGTTACCTCATGATTTGAGTGGGAGCCTTGGTTGCTACAAGATTGGATTGAGTCTACCTATTTAATTAGGAATGTGTCTTGGCCCCTTGAGGAGGGAGAATTCAGAAAATGTATGGCCGTACTCAAATGGATTAATATGATTTGTAATCATTTGTTTTGTAATTCTAACTCAGTTTCTCAAGAAAAGATTTGTAGATTAATATGATCACGACATGACATGCAATCATATTATCAAATCGACGCACATTGACTTAAGGAATTTGAATATTGTGCACTTGTCTCAGACAAGTGGGAGATTGAAGGAGTTCTGTCTTCGATAAGTGCAATTACTAGATATATCAAGGATCACTATTATGGAGATAATAAGTTCGTTCTTTTGGGTCGTCATTATCTGTTGCTAGACTATAATCATTGATCTTTGGGCTAGTCAAATAGTCCAAAGCCCACTAGAATGGATCCTATGAGGTCACACGACAAAGGTATTGAGTTAAGCAAGTTAGAGGCCCATTTATGGGTCTCATGATCAAGTAACCAATCATGAATTGGATTGGGCTAGTATAGTTAGATTAGAGTTAGGATTTGGGTTTTGTCAAGGACTCTTATTTAGAGATGAGATCTATAAATAAATTCCATGTCTAGGGTTGTATGACACAACACAATTAACAGTTAAGTGTGCACCAAACAACTAGTAATCCAAAAACCTCTCTCTCTCTCTCTCTCTGTACCACACGCCTACTCCTCCCTTCGTGGTGGTTCGTGAGTTGTTCGTTGCTCGTTCTACTCCATAGAAGGTCAATTGAAGTGTTCGATTGCGACTAACTAGCATTAGTGGAGGTCTTAATATGTGCCTGTGGACCAAGTAAAGGAATCACGGTTGAGGTTCTTTATCTCCCCTGTTCTTGTTCGATCGCACGTGGAATCACGCTTCAAAGGTATTAATTCTAATTCTTTATGTGTTATGCATGATCTTGGGATTAGGTGCTATATGAATATGATTCATGTTTTCCGCATTTGTACCTATAAACTCCTATACCGTTTGATTATCTTTCATTAATGAAATCCTTTTTCTTCTTGTAAAAAAAAAATAAAAAAAAATCAAGGATATTTGCATTAGAAAGTTTACATTGATAAACGTGCTTAAAATGTGTCATGTGATATGAAACAAATGAAGTAACTATTAATGATCAAATTGGGTTGTATAATGAATGCAAGTGCGCCAATAGCGCATATGCATTTATTCGTTTTATATGATTATTTTTTTTTGAAATAATTTTAGCTTTTATTTTACAATTTGTTAATTATATTTATTAGCACATCAATTACATGGGTAATTTAATTATATAGTGGCCTTGGTGGGTAGATAAGTTTATTCCAAAGTGAACCTTTATTAGAGGTGGTTCTTAAGGTCAATCTCTTGTCAATTCGATTTGATTTATTTCCATAATGCAAAATACTCCGTATAATGTCAGCTGCTTAATGTTTTACGTAATTATTACCAAAGTAAGGGAGGCATGGGATAGTTGGTTGGTCAATTTTGCATCACCAAACCAAACTTGCCATCAAAGGAATGACTTCGGATTGAATTTTATAATGTTACGACTTTCTAAATATTGCAAACAATTTTTTTCTTCCTTTTGAAAGCCGCAAAAGAAATACCTCCTCCGTTCTATTAATTTGTAACAATGGACTTTTTGCACTATTCATCACTCTCGTTTGACCATATAATATGAGTTATACGTTAAGCAAAATATAGTCAAGTGTGATTTTGTTGGATTCGTCTCATTTAATACTTTCACAATATCAACTTTTTATAATTTTTACTCTTACACAATTATAGATATTTAGCATGTTAAATGTATTTTGGGATGCGTAATTTCTTCCTTGTTGCAATATTAACAGAACGGAGGAAATACTACATTTCAGTTTTTTTTTTTTTTTTTTTGGTTTTCTCCCACTTGTCCTCCATAGTTAAATTAATGGAGCTATGTTAGCAAAACGGGTGTAATTGGATGAGATATTTACGTACCCTAATAAAATAAATAAATAAACACACACAAACACATATATTACTCCCTCCGTGTTTTGATAAATGTTACATTTTGTTCCATAAAAAAAAAAAGTGTTACATTTTGAAAGGCACATAGTTTTAGGCAATGAAATTGACTTAAATAAAAGAGATAAGTGGGATAGACATTTTAATTGACATAAATCATTTGAAAACTCCCACAAAATGAGAAAAATCCCAAGCATAGATGGAGAAAATTCTCTCATGAAAAGGAAGAAACAGAGAGGGTTTATTAGGAAAAAAAAAAAAATTTGAAAACATATAAAGCAAACAAACCCTTAATAATTATACATATATCTCCAAGAAAAAGGAAAAATTGTTAGGAAGTACTCACTGAACCGGTCAATTTGTGAACAAACTACTCGCTAAGTTTTATTTAGCACTACCTTTTTCATTTTCCAACAACTAAATCGGACAAATGGGGCCCACTTGTTATTTTTCCTCAACAAAAAACATTATCATCCTTGTGTATATTAATCAACCTTCATCTTCTTTGCAAAAATTCAATCCAAAAAACCAAATTTTTGAGAATATCGCCAATTAAAGAAGGAAAAACAATTTGGTTTTCACAAAGATTGGTTTTGTGGGTTAAATTTTTGCAAAGAAAAGGAGGCTGGTTTATATATACGAGGGTGAGAATGATTTTTTTTTGGAAGAATAATAACAAATGAGTCTCACTCGCCAGATTTAGTTGCCGAAAAATGAAAAAGGGTAATGCTACCCAAACTTTATAAAGTTAAGGGATAGTTCTTTTTATAAAACTTTTTAACGAGTAGTTATTCATAAATTAACCTCTTAAGCGAGTAGTTTTTTTTACAATTTTTCCTACAAAAAATGACGTTGAACTTGTGAAGTCCGGAGTTTCGTTTCTATTTCGATATTTGCAGCTCAAAAGTGACCATAATAAGTTAATAACCGCATGTTTATGAATTACAACTTTTACACACGTATCAGATCCTCTACATTACATAGTTATACAATATTTTTTAAGACTTATTCTATGAGTAAAATTAATAACAGAAAAATACAGTGTAAAATCAATTCAAACATCAAAATTGTAAGCTTCCTTTGATATGGCCAGGTTGGCGCCTCGTGATTCAGCAATAGTTAACAATCTATTGGGTAATTGATACACATAATACAGCAACTAGTTAATTGACATCGAATGTGACCTGCGACAGGCATGAATATTGAACCTTTAAGTACATGGTTGTTAGGGACAAAACAGGCTTAGATTAACTGATAAATGGAAAAGGCAAAGAAGGCAATGTATTCATTTATTTAGATTTAAACGAGGGAAGTAACTTGTGGGCTGTGGCTGTTATTGAATGTTAGGAAAAAATAAAAAAAAATAAAAAAATAAAAAAAAGAAAGAAAAAAGAAAAATAAAAGCAACAGGAATTGCATGAAGGAAAGTATTCACTTGGGCACCAGAAATATGAAACAAAGCATTGCCTTTCATTTCAGGGAAACTATAAAAGGAAAACCCAGCAGACTACCTCACAACTTGTGTCCATGTTCATATTATTTACTTTGCATCAAAAGTGTCATTGAAAATGACCTAAAAATAATCACATAGCTGAACATGGATGCATGCGTTGATGCGTGCGAGAGAGAGATCAGGATAGAATAAGTGGTGGTAAAACAAAGTGTATTACCTTTTAACAGATCAGTTGAAGATTCAAGAGTGGTATGCATTGACACGAATCCATTTTGTGGCTGACCACTTATTCCCTTTAATTACAGGGCAACCACCTGAAACAAAGATGGACAAAGCAGATCATATGGTAGAGCTGCAAGAGGAGTATGCAGAGAGGGGTTTTGTATAGCAAAAAAATTACCAACCATGCAAACTTAAGGGATCCAGAGAGGCATCAGGCTTCATGCTCCAAAACAGCAAAGCATCACCCCTATTTGGTTTGACCGAAAGACCTTCTTTACCACATTTAGATAACTCGTTCCAATAAGGTACAGCACTGATGTTTCCTTTTGCAGAGGGAAATACTGTCTCACCCCCTTCTTCAACATCAGAGCTATAAAGTGTAGCAGAATTTAATTCCCAAGTTAATCATTAATATTAAAGAGACTGATAAAGACATCATTTTACATAAATTGTGAGAGATCTCGAGATGAGACATGAACACAAAAAGGAGAATGATAAAAAATAAAATAAAATAAAAATCGAGAGGAAGAACTTACAGATACATGAGAACAGTGGCTATTCGTTGACCTCCATTGGCAGTGCTGTAGTCTTCCAAAAAGTAGTCAAAGTGAGGCTCGTACCTTTGCCCCACTTCGTAGTGAAGAACTTGAAGACCTTCACCGTGATCTGTGGATAAAACAATCAGACATTTAAGGTTACTAGTCTAGATTGCAAATGACAGTCAGAAGTTAAATGTATGATTCAGAAAGTTGAACAAAATGTGTGGATCATCTAGGCATTGCCAGAATATTCTCAAGTACAAAGTATTTCTTTCAGAGTGTCATAGGCTCATAGTTTAACCCCTATATATCATACCAAATTTATCACTAAGGGAACATTACATTGACCAATGACAATATCAATATCACTTCTCTATATGTTACATTCAAGATAAGTAAGAAACAACGGAAAACTAATATGTATCAAAGCACAAAAGCACTGACATAGAAATTGTAGCTCCATAGATCAAGAAAGTTTTTAGCTATGTGCTAAGCAGCCATCCCACTCCCTGTTCCGAACTCTTGATTTGGTACTCATTGGGCTAGTATGGCCTTTTCAAGAGAAAATCCCATTAGAATTTGACTAATAGTGGTCCTCTTGAATGCTTATGAGCCATTGAGCCTCAAATATAGTCCAGCTGCGATGGACAAGGTTCTTGACTACAACACAACATTTTTTTTATGGAATCATTCAGGATCACTTATGGAGACAATACAGGCTACTGCTACAATAAACAATACATGGCTATCAACTAGCCCAGCTTCTTTTTCTTTTCAAAGGCAGGTCTCCAAAAGATGTTATAGGGAGAAATTATATATAGAATATCATATGAAAGAAGTTTAATTTGTATGCATTTGAATTACTTGCTTAGAATTTATTCTTCATAAAATTGGAATGTATTAACTTAGGCTAGTTAGCTCCTGTTCCAGTTAGCATAAGATGTCAAGGAGAAAGAACTGTCTAAGTTTCTGAGTTTGTGAGCGAGCAAGTTTGCATAAAACTAACCCCTCCCTTCAGGTCGTAAAAGCAAAGAGTTGTCAAATACGAGGTAGAAAATAGTTTCTTATTCACTCACTTTGCAACTTGTGAGTGGGTAAGTTCGCGACCAGCTAATGACTCCCCCCACTCTTCATTTTCCCCTACTCACATATTGGATTCTCTTCCTAGTCGCTACTAAAAGATGATCGTAATATTTTTATATTAACAATCAAATAAGCAACGCTCAAAGGATTCATTCCCAAAACAAAGCACACGCCAAAAATTATATTGGTAATTTGGTATGCACCCATAATTATCAGGTGAAAAACCATATAAAGATAAGATAGAAAACTAATAATCATAATCCTAAGAAAAGATAGAACAGGAATCCTAATTCATCACCTAGTCATTTTTGTAATCAACTAATAATTCTATCCTAACATAAGTAAATTGAACAAATAAATATCTTAATAACTAAAACCCTTAAAGCCTAAAAATAGGAAAACCCAAGTGAAAGGTAAAACCCATAGGCCAAAATCCTAGTAATTAATAATAACTAAAGAATAGTGTAGGTTTTAAAATTAAACTCCATGAATCTTCAAGATTTGCAAGAAAATCGCAAAATTCTTTACAAATAATTCACAGTTGAATATTCCAAGAATCTTCAAGAAAACCCATATTGAACGATAGCTCCCGCATCAGTACTGATTAGTCCCACATCTTTATTTTTCTCAAGGTGAGGTCTCCAAAAGACATTGTCTGGAGAGTATGTTAATGGAGCTATATAACTTTAACCTTTGAATTGATTGCTAAGAATCCATTTCTCATTGCAATTGGACTATATTACGCAGTCTACTTTCTTTGGCTTTGGCTCTAGACAGCATAAGATTTGTTAAACTGAAAGTAGAGTTCTTTATCATTGATTGGTGATCAGAGAAGTTTGCACAAATTTGTCACGCGTAAGTATCTAACACATCCCTTCCTCCACTGCTCCGCCCACTCAAAAAATAACATGGTTCATAAAATTTAAGTATTGGCCAGTGGACAAGCCGTAAGGAAATAGTTTAGGTCTCTAGGAAGTTCGCTATCCTGAAAATTATCATTGTTTTGTGTTCATTGAGTATAAACTAGCTTAACATCCATCATCCTAATCATTTGATGCCTTGCAAAATGATGAAAAAGAAGCTACATAACTTGCTAAAAAATGCAAATACAATAAGAAAATTCATATTCAAAAATCTGACTACATTGTAATTCATCATAGTTTGCAGCTAGCAAAGTTAGAATAAAGAGCTGATGGGGTATGGTAAAAAAAATTAAAATAAATTAAAAAATATCATAACAGTAGATTTAGAAAGCTTTTGCTATTATGTATGCCCTGGATCAGCAGATATATTCTCAAAAAGCAACCCATTCTTTTACAGACCAAAACCATGCATGATTCATTTGCGCATGTTCAGTTGAAAAATTGGCATTCATTTAATAGACACTATTGATTGACTAGGATAACTAATCAAGACACATAATGCTGTAATAGTTGGCTCTCGATTGCCACAAATAGTAGATTTTCTATACCTTTTTAAAAAAACAGCGGTAGATAGGGAAGGATATGGTAGACAAAAGTGGGAAATGTCTTCCTCACATATGCATAAGGAACAAAAGTGGAGGATTGGTAAACTTATGTACAGAACGAACACAGACAATCAAGCACAATTCTGTGATATGGTATGGACAATTACATGGATTACACCAAACCTAGAAGCACGAAGGTTATTAGGGCATAGCCTTCACGAATCAAAAAGTAAAAGATATAAAGTTGAAGCTGTTGCACTTAGACTAGTTTAGACTCATTTAATACACCAACAGTAATGACATGAGTCTCAAAAAAAGTACATGCAATTGCAATATACAGTAGGGTCAAGTGGTTAACAAGTTCTTGGCAAGCTTCCTGAAGTTCCCTCAATCCATATATAAGGGAACCAAGGTGGCTAAGGAGATTTAGAGTAATCAGTAAAATCAAAGGCCAAAGGTTGCTCATCACTAGTAGATATCTACCCTGTCCAGGATGCTTCAAAAAGAAAGCAACTAATCTTAGTATCTGAGAACTGTTACTTTCATGCCATAGGTCCCAGCTTACTTTCAAGTTTCAACAAGTAGATTCTTACAAAAATAAGGATTTTGAATTCTGATAATGAGGGATACATTATCCCATATTCTAATAAAATATAGGGCACAGAAAGGGAAAGGAATGGAGAGTTCCATTTTCTTTTCCCTTTTAATAAACTACATCCCTCCCTTGTTGGAGAGCTTTGGAAGGAAGCTGAAGGTCGCTCTTTCCCTTCTCTCGCCTTCCTTTCTTTTCCTTCTTATTCCTTCCCCTCCCATTTTAAACAAGATAGAAACTTAACAATTCAAAATCCAATCCCCCGGTCCCGAAACGGATAAGGAAGTTGAACTAAAATACTTTCTCCGTTTCAATGAAATTGCAACACTCACATTTCACGCTTTCAAATGCATAAGTTGAGGCAATTCTAAAAAGACCCCACATGACTATAGTGTTCTTTAACCATAAGTCGTAAAAGTTAGGTAAAGTAAAGTACGTGAATAGTGCATAAGTCAAAGTAGTGTCACAAATTCATAAATCGAGGTGAATCTAGAACGATCCCCCATTACTATTTCCTTAATTATAAATCATAAAGTAAGCCAAAGAAAAGTATTTGAATAGTGCATGAGTCAAAGTAGTGTTGAAATTTTAGTGAAGCACAGGAAGTGTAATATAAGCTTCAAAAAAGAAGCCTTAGAAGAGTTACTTAATTTGCCAATACGAGGTTGGGTACAGATAGACAATTCACACTACCTAATTTATTTAATTAGACCAAAAATGAAAAATGTACCACTTTCCTTATAATGTACTTCCTTCGTTTCTATTTAGTTGACACGTTTGATTTAGGCATATATATTAAGGAGAGGAGAGAGAGTGAGAGAGAATGAAAAAAAAAAAGTGGGGTAGGTTGTAAATACAAGGTAAAAAAGTTACCCCAAAAGGAAACGTGTCAACTAAAAAAAAAAAAAAACCTAAAAGGAATACGAGTCAACTAAAAAGAAACGGAGGTAGTATTGTTTTTTGGTTCATGGTCGCAGGGGATTAGCATATTAAGTAACTATGGTTCTTATCAAACAATAACACAAAAATTTCTAAGTTTCATACCTACTGGAAGAAAAGTGAAATCTGCAATTCTCTGCTCTATGGTCCTGATGATCTTATCCCGACCTCTAGCAAGGAATGTTCCTGAACTAGTACGCACCCTATAAGAGAAGAAAATAAAAAAAAAATCTAATAAGTAGACAGCAAGATAAAAAAAAGGAAAACACTATGAGATAGGCATCATAAAATGGCAGCAAATTTTTAAATGACAGAGGAAACAAGAGAACTAGGGATAACAGAGACTGGAGAATGGAGAGGGAATAAAGAAATTAGTGCCTGCTGTCTTTACTCTTGCCGGTTTGCTCATCAACAACTAGTGACTTTTCCATGCGAGGTGAGGCAAGTTTGATAAGGTACTCACATTCTTCCTTAGACTGCCAAGGACCAAAGTTTTGATTAAGCTTTCAATTTCGTTTTAATAATCAAAGAATTCGATCTATTAGACTGTGAAAATAAGAAAGTTCAGTATGCATTCAATTCCTTCCATGAATGCAACTTGACAAACACCAAATGTTCTTTCCAATGATGCATTATAATGTAGTGAAACAAGGTGCATTATGTCTCAACCAATAGTTAATCCATAATTTTAAATTAAGCTTCGACGAAAACCAACACAAGGAACAACCTTGGATGTAAAACTAATTAATTCTCCAAATCAATTCTCGATGATAGAAACTCCATCGATCCAGCTTACAAAACAAATTTTCCACACATTCAAAACCCCTAAGTAACCAGCAAACGGACATTGATATAATTAAATCATAGCTCATGTAAGAAATGCAAATCGCAGGATATGTTTATATTACAAAAACATAACAAATCAATAACATAGAGTGAATATAAACTTATACTTGTATATATTAACCATCATAACTTTTGCTCAATTCTAAAGAAAACGAAAAAAAAAATAAAAAAGTCAACTTTAACTGAAAATGAAGTAAATAACTAAATAATTTTGAACACATACCAAGAAATTATGATAAACAAAAGCTCTAGGCTCCCAAGATAGTAATTCAACCCATTGCTGATCTCTTTCTTTGCTCACATGATCAACCCTGCCAACAACATAAAATCAATTAAACAAAAATCAAAGTAAAATCCAAAACCCAAAAACTCCAAATTTATCTCCTCGATTATCAATTTCAAAACAAGTCTATAATTAGTTGTTGGATAATCAGTCGCAAAATCTAAATACATTTGGAGTGTTTATCAAAGAGTATAATTCAGCTGCCCTCGAAAAATTCGATCACATTGAATTAGCAATAACAATTGGAATTTCAATTCAAAATTCAAACATTGATGAAATCAAAACCTGTGAACAGCATTATGAACGATGGAATTGAGATCATTAACTTGATGAGAAGCGGAAGGATTAATGCTAGGAATGGAGACAATTCCAAGAGCAAGAAGGATAAGAACGAGGACAGAGAACAAAAGAAGCAATGCGAATATGAGCGTTGACGATGGCGTTGACGATTTCCGAAGTAGAGGACGACCGTATTTCGGTTTCGCCATTGTTGAAAGCTTGGAGGTTTATGGATTTGCAGAAACCCTAAGTTGATTGCATGAAGAAGAAGATGGAAGATCTGAGGTGATTTAGAGTTTGCAGGGAGAAGAAGAGTGAAGTTTGGGGAAGAGAGATATAGCTTTAAATTTTATTCAACGAAGGAACTGAATTTTTTGCATTCAATTAATCAAACGAAATTTTGATTTTTACCACCTTCAAATAACTAAATTATTGAATTTATCACCTTTAAAAAAAAAAGAATTACTTTACCACCTCATAAAAAAAATTAAACATCAGTTTTCCCACCTAAGCTTAACTCCGGTGACGGAAACCGCCAGAGGGGCCCGCCATAACAGCTAGTTTTTTAAATTATCCCCAAATTCTCCCGATTTCCCATTGATTTAAACCTAACTTCTTCATTTCTACATCTATTTCGTGAAGATTGAAGTTTTTTTTTGCCATTTTCTTCACAAATTCTGATTTTGGGTGATCCTTAACAATCCCACATCCTCAAATTATCAAATTATTGAAGATTGTACTCGGCCCTGAATCAATTGAACTGTTCGACGACTAACAGCGAAAAGGTAAGCAATTTTCATGAATTCTGTTGTAATTTTTTGCAATTGTTTGCGTGATTATGTTACAACTGCTAAGTATAATTGAAATTGCATGTTTTCTGTTATTAATTCAACCCCAATTTCATATTGTAAATAATTAGGGTTCATGTAAGTGTAAATTAATTTGGGGGTTTTTGATATTTCAATTAGGCAGTAAAATTAGGGTTAGATTATGGTAATTGTGTTCAAATACAATTAACTTCAATGAAAATTTGGCAGTAGAAATGGTCACACTACCTCCGAATTACGAGAACAGTTTTTTTCCAGAAGTCGAATCTATTCTTCGTCGCCGTTTGTTTTCTGAAACCTCTGTCATATAACAATCAGGTTCAGGAAACAGAAATTGAAGCAGCTCAGGTACGAGTAATTGTTGTTGCTCATCCACGGATTCGGTATTTATAAGATCAAACACGTTTTTGTTTGCAATCCTTAAGCCATTAAGGATACAAATCAGACCAAAAACCAAGCTATAAGCAAATTATAAGATGAACTTTGGCTCATTTACTACCCAAATTAAGGATTTGTAAAGAAAATCGCAAAAAAAAAAAACTTCAATCTTCAACAATTTGATGTGGAAATGAAGAAGGTTGTTTAAATAGGAAAAAAATCGAGAGAATTTGGGGATAATTTCAAAAACTAGCTGTTATGGCGGGCACCACTGGTGGTTTCCGTCACCAGAGTTAGGCTTAGGTGGGAAAACTGATGATTAGTTTTTTTATAAGGTGGTAAAGTAAATCTTTTTTTTTTTTGGAGGTGGTAAATTCAATAAAGTCGTTATTTGAAGGTGGTAAAAATCAAAATTTCCTTAATCAAATTCTATATTTCGAGAAATTGACGTTAAACAAATTCTATATATGCTAAAATTTGTAATATATTTAGATAAAATTCCTAATATAAAAAGATAATGTTTTATATTTATTTAATTTAAACAGGGAAATCTCATTTATCAATTTGCTTACGTATCATTTAAATTATTTAATTCAAAAAGAAATTAATAATCTCGTATTTAATTGACTACCACTAAAATTTATTATCCTACATGGCGCGCTGAAAAAATTAAATCCTACATGACTCTTTAAAAACTCAGGAAAAAAACTCTCTTTATATATATACTAGGTTAGAACCCGTGCGATGCACGGTTTATATAAATTTGTACATTTTAATAATAAATCGCTATTATACATGAATATAAATAAGAATTACGTACATTTTGTAATTTAAAATCTTTTATTTTCATCAAAACTATGATATAGTAGTTGTTTGACGTCGTCTAATTCATTGTTAAATGTAGGAGATAATTTATTAGCGTGTTATTAAAAAAAATTAACTTCCTACGATAAATTGATATGTTTTAGTTGTAAGATAGAAGCTTTTAACATTTAAATTTCAAAAATGTTAAATAGGATAACTCCACCCAAAAAAAAAAAAAAAAAAAAAAAAAAAAAAAAAGATGACATCATAATTGCATTTAGGCGGTTTTTTTATTAACAGAACGAAACGTGGGTAGTGATGATGATCTTCTATTTTAGTAATAGTTAATAGATAGATTATTTGGTATTTTATCGAAAACAAAACTCTAAACTAACAATCTTATTCTAAATTAACTTTTTAATCTATCCAAGGTGGCGTGACACTTGGCGAAAAGTTGGAACGTCAAGTGTCGCTATTTCGTGACCTGGCTAAAAGTTTAGCTTTATATATTAGTTATATGATATATATATAGATTCAACAGCAAAGCCGGAGAAATGAAGGTGGGTAGGATTCCAATTGTGGATCAAAGGAGGAAGAAAATGAAGGAAGAAGAAGGTGGTCAGATCCGGTGGTGGTTTTCAAGAATATGAAGGAGATAGTGGTCGGTTTTGATGGTGATCGCAAGAAGAAGGATGGTGATTTATAAAAATGCCCTTCGCTTTTTTTTTTTAATTGAAGTTACAATTTAAACCCTATGATTTTATCAAGGTGATTAACCTAGTCTTACTAGAGGTATTTTGGGGTAGCTTGTGGGATATATGGGATTGATGAAAAAATAAAAAGGAAATGGCAATTGAAAGAAGCTCAAATTTGGCTTTAACTGATATTAGATACAAATATTTCATAGGCAAGGTTTAACTTGGACGCTTACAAGTTACAACTATGCGTGAACTCACGGTCTCTCACTGATTAATGATATCCATCTTAGGATTAGGAAATGGAAGCCCAGCTAATATCATCTCAAAGGAAGCTTTAATTAATAATCTAAGAATTCTTAATCTGTCAATTGAGAATTTTGATAAAGACTTTTTAAAGAAAATTGGGGCAAAAAGCCAAATATTAGGAAAGTTCATCCTTAGGGAAGAAAAGTCAAATGCTCCTGCAGAGAGAGGGCAATTTACTAGGCAGAGTGTGGAGATTGACTTATCTAATTCTCTATTGTCTAAGTTTTGGTTGAATGGCAAAATATGGAGAATTCAATATGACGTAATTAAAATGATATGATATAACTGTGGTAAGTTGAAGCATGTAAAGGATCAATGTGCATCAAATCATGTCAGTGAGAAAAATGAATATTGATCAAACTAATGATCGCCTGAATAAGGTTGAAAATCCTTTGCCACCTATAGTCTTAAACTTGATGAACACAATGATTTTGGCTCATGGATACCTGTTTAAAAACCTATTAAATGAAGAACTTCATAATCTGGAAATATGCAACAAGAAGAACAAGTGGTATGACACATGACATGTCCAAGCAACATTATGGTGCTAGTGCAACAGTCAATCATGGTACTTAGGAAGGTGGAGATGATATTAGCTCAAGATTTGCGACGCTTGCTAAGGAAGATGGTCAACATGATTTTTTCAAAAAGAGACTACGGAGTACATAGTAGTGAGGGATGTGGAAGGGCCTGCTACAGCTTCAAATTTCGAGCAGGATCTTTGAAGCAATGAATTGTAAGAAACATAATGATACAGCAACATAGTGATTTATCACATGAAATATGGCCGACCTACTTTGCTATCACCATTTAAACCATAATTTAAACCTAGATTGCAACCCTGTAATATGAATCAAAAAGATTTTGGACTTTTACCCCATGTCATTTAAATCAATCTCGCGTAGGCTCACCAAATTAAGGTATACATAAACTCAAGGGGTGGAGCAAATTTCTGAAAACAATCCCTCTCATTCTCAAAAAATTCCGAGCTGTATATTAGGGGAAGAAAAACCCAGTCATGTCCAAAAGAGCAAAAAAATCACTTAGAAGAAGCCACCTTCTTTGAGCTTCCTGCTTTCTTATCTGAATCAGCAACCTTTCGTTTGTCCTTCCTTTCCCGTTTCTTTAGAGAAGTCATATGAGCTTTCAAGATGGTAGCATATGAAGCTTGAAAACGCTGGTGTTCCTTGGGACCCACCTGAAAGAAAAATCAAAGTGAAAATCAACAGCAATACTCAAAAGTTAGGAAAAGTACCCTTTCAATCTTTCATATTCAATTGTACAATTGCAGATCTCATATAAGAACTTGTGCTCGATATAAAATTAACATTATTATAGGCAGTAACAAAAAATTGAACTTAAATAAATTCACTATGTTTTCAATTCTGATGAGCAGATCTCTGTTAACACCCCATTTATCGCAGCTGAGAAAATTAACAAACATACTGTCGGTTTAAACTTACAAAAATCAAGACACCCAATATTAACTAAAAGCAATCCAGTAAGGTTTGATGATAGACAATACCCTCTTCTTTCTATTTCTATCTATTCCTTTTTCTTTTCAACTGTTTGTAGTCTTTCTTTCATTTGTCTGGTTATACTTTTCCTTGATTGGGGTGGGGTGGGGTGGGGTGGGAAGAGGAGGGCAGGGTCTGGTATTACAAAAACCAGGCAAGGACTTGCCTATAATATGGTGAGTTGTAGATAATTAACTAGTCTTGATGCAAAAGCAACACCAAAGAGGCCAGCACAATAGTTCAATGCCGTAACTCATGCTTTATAAAGCCACAGATGAATTCAGAAGAAATGCACAACACGCATAGGTTACCATCATGTTACAGCAATATAGCAGAACAAGGGCCATTTGAATAAATTCCTAGCTTTTGGCATTCCCCTGTACCCACCTTCATCTAATTTAAGTTCTGCTTAACAAACAATGCTAATTGTTTACTTCAATTCCTTGAGATGTAAGAGGTATATAACAGATGCTCATTATGAAAACACAGTGCATGCCGGCAGGGAATATTCCATAATATATCCAAATATCCAATCACCACAACAAAGGCACATGTGTTTCGTTTACATTTCATGTAGTGCAGGCATCTAGCAACTAAGTCTGATGCATAAATACAGCACAAATGACTGCAAACCCACATAGCAAAGTGTAAATACTACAAGGACTACAAGATTTTGATTATTCAGAGAAACCAATAAGACCAAAAAGGGCAATAATCCAATAGAACTAAGCAAGAGATACAGGATCCATAACAAAATTAGCAAAATAGCCAAGTACAGAAATGTAGCAAATATAATCAATTGAAGGGGACTAGGGATCATGAAGCAGTAATATTAGTGCACCTTGAAACCAGCAATATTTCAGTGTTACACCATATGCCTTATCCTTCAAATCTACAAAGCAAAAATATATATCTTACTCCTGGATATTCAGAAGTTCATAAATCCTCATGCAACAGTTGAGGAAAAAGTAGCACAAATATCCAGGAGATGTACATCATCGGTGATCAACAACAATCAACAAGAAATTGAACCAAATAAGCTCCATGAAAACAGGCTCAATCACAACAGTCATGTCTGATACCTCACCAAACACTGATTTCTCACTACAACATACAGTATGCTCTACAAGTATCATCAGTGAGCTTGTGGGGGTTGTGAATAGCACATACTGGCCAAAACCTCTGAATATTAGCAAATTGGTGAGTCCGAAGGTTTATGAGACCAAAGGGCACAAAATCTATAGCCACACATATTTGCAGACAAAATTGAATCATGATGAAAGATTCCCGCACTTGACACTACTAACCAGAAACTCTTGGCAATGTAACCAACCTAAATTGTGAATGAAATAGCTCTTACATTTTTATACCTACATGTCTTATGCAATAAAGCCACAAATATATGTCTAGCCATTATAAATTGATAATTGTCTCCATAATAACCAGGCAACTTCTTTAGGGAACTGCTTCCCTACGAGGCTAAGGAGTACACCTTCTGCCATACAACCCTAGCTTAACCCATCAAGGTTTCCAGAGAGACGTTAAAGCACAGGCAAGACTTCCTCGCCTCATAAAGGAATCTTCTGCCTCTCCAACTGGCCCATCATAATATAAGCTCAGTTGAAATCAAATACTACCTCTATTACAAGTTATGTGCAACGATTCGACATAAAGTAGAGAGGGAAAATGTCTAATCGTTGCACATAACCTGTAACAGAGGTAGCACTTCATTTCAAAAAGCTGCTTAATCAGATTTATGTCAATTTAGACCCCAGTATAAAGATGAAAAAACTTTTGATAAGATAGAATACTGAATGGATATCTATTGGAGCACTTCTTAAATGTACAAAGAATGTAAACCTCCATAACAGAAGTACCATCTTCTAAAGCACTGAAAAGGTTTCAAAATGTGATTTAAATAGGTGAAAATATTCTCACTAATTCAAGTGTCCTAGAAGGCAACATCCTCTACGATGTAATAAAATTATACAACACACAAAATAGTAGACGGGATATTTACATGTGCCTTAACTAGTTGGCTTTGTGTCAGGGTCTAGGTCAGACTGCCCATATTGCCCCTTAGGTTATACTAGCACAAGTTTTACAACAACACACCGGCTTTGTTCCTGCTGTGTCATACAGCACACGCGTGACTATTAAGGAAGTCATACAACCGTGCTAAACATGCCTTGATGATATTGTTGAAAGTATTGTTTGACCTTACTATTAATTATTGGCACCGAAAGTATGTAGTATACAAATAAAGAAAAAAAACATAATGAGGAATGAGTAGGAGAATGTTATTGTATTACATTATATATTAGTAAAATGATAATATAAGTTTTAAAAAGAGTAATGTTAAACTGGTCATGTAAAGTTGCCAATAACACATTGTTAATCTAACACTACAGCACAAAATGACATGTTAAAGCTTTACTCAAAGTATAACTTGCAGATATTTAGTCAAGGCAAAAGGTCAAGCTAAGTCAAGGAGGATAGCTCAATGCTACCTAGCACAAAACATTCAATAAGGAATCAAGAAAAATGAAAAAAGTGGTTTCTCTAGCAGGATATGGGGTATAGGGTATTGTAAAAGGCAGCTAAACTGATATAGGCAAATAGCAACCATGAACATCAGTCAGAGTGAAAAGAAAAGGCATCACTGGTTACTAGTAATTTGTCTTTAAAAATGGTACTAAGGTATTGATACTAAACATATGAAAACTTTTTGGAAAACATAACACATTATCAAAATTAAATCCTTCAAAAACATCAAATCAACCAAAGGTATCAACCATGACGTCATTAATTAAAGACAATATAAGCAAATAAAACAACATGGATGAAGCCATTCATCAAGACTCAATTGAGGACTGATCTACACTCTTCTTCTCAACAAAGCAAACATAACAAAAATTAAAATTTGATGGGCCATGTTGGACCATGATTTTCTCGTTCTATCCTCCTTAGAAGTTATCACTTTATCAAACAAAATATTATTTCTTCACCATTCGAGAAGTGAAGGAGAACTTTGAAAACTCTCAAACTGCAAATTGCACTTCTCTATAAAAAACAAAAGGCCCTTATTTTCCTTTCCAAACAATACCCGTGAATAAACAGTGACTATCATTGCTGATTGGTTAGGTAACCTGAGGGCAACAATAGGAAGTAGATAGCTAAATTATCAAATTTCTGAGAGTTACAAATGACATTAGCAACTTTGACAACTTAGTGTCATCAGAGCATATATGGCACCAGATTAAAATGAGGTCAAAGCAATAAGTAAAGAATCACTAGAGCTAAATGTTATTTGGGGAATATTACCAGCAAAAGAATTCCTTAGGAAGCCATCAGTTTTCTAAGGTGTTGTTGTCTAGGCAAAAGCGCATTATATTAGCTTGAAGAAACGGGTGATCACAGTGATCACGAGCTGCTGACAGCTAGTATCACTTGAATGCAAAAAAAAAAAAAAAAAAAAAAAAAAACTGCCAAAAGTTTTCCTAATTCTTATACTAAAATTGGAAACACTTTTGTAGACCACAATCAAATCCATGTCACTTAGCTATTTAATTCCAGCATATTTTTTAAAATTCCATCACCAGCACACAGCTTAGCCTAACCTAAGCATCGTCTCCACGAAAATCTTTACATGTTCCAAAATACCTAGCTCCCTAATCCTACAATGGTTCCCAAAACACCACCAACACACTAATTTCATCAACACCAAATGTCCCAATATTCCAACAACAAACAGTTCATTCAAAATTCAAGTTCAAATTCAATAACACAATAACTCACTGTGGTGGAGATTGTTTTCTTGCCATCGGTAGCGCGAATTAGGCATCGGTAATCAATGGCTTCTCCGGCAGTATTCATCTTATTCCTCTGCACCTTCGACTTCATAGATGCTATAATCAAACAATGCACCATTAAAATCAAATCAAATTACACCAAATTTTAAAACTTAGGAAGAAAAATGGTACATACATCGCTTAAGAGTAACCCAAACAGAACCCTTCTCAGTATTTCTTTCATACATTGCCGTCAATTCATTCAAAAACGAGTCCGAATTTAATGGCGCCTGGAAATATACAACATAATCCAATAATTCAACAAAGAAATTTTCACTAAATTAACCTAAAATTGGAAATTGAGATTTCTGTACAATTATAATTCGATGATTTCTAGATCATGATGAAATTGAAGCGAGAGAAAAATTGTTCGGAGGAGAGAGAAATTTACCTTGACGGAGGATGAAGAAGAGGAGGGAGCTGCGGCGGAGGAGGCGCGATTGCGAGGTTGCGCCGGCGACATCACGGCGGCGCTGCGGCGGAGATGTGAATAGTACGATTGACTGAGACTGATGGAAGACCGGAGGAGAGAGAAAAAACGCAAAAAGGAATGATAGTTTCCTTCGATTGGCTTGGGTTGGAATATTTAAATGGTTATTTACTTCTTATTCACGTCTTTTTCACGTGACTTCTTTTTTTTTTTTTTAAAAAACTTTTTAATGTTGGAATTTAAAGTAATCAAGGTAGTATTATCATTTTATCTGCCATTAATTCAACTCCCAAGGTTTGAATGGTAGATAAGATGATAATATTACCTTGATTACTACTGTATCTTTGTATTTTTTTTTCCTACTTTATTTATATAAAATACTTCTACTTGCATAGAGCACTTTGTACTATATGTACAAGCTAAGAGACACACGCGATGCGTGCGTGTGCAATATAAAAAAAAAAATCTATCAAGCTCGATTTTTTTTTCTATTCAAAAAATAAGATAAAATAATTAATGGGTTTAAAAATTGTTGTTAAAAAAATATAGCTATCATAAAACCATATGTTATTATATATATATATATATAATAATAATAATAATAATAAAGTATGAATTATCTCAAAAAAAAAAAATAATGGGTTTAAAAATTGTAGTTAAAAAATATAGCTATTATAAAACCATATGTTATTAAAATGTATATATGAGGCTAAATAATAAAAGCTATCATACAAATACGTACTCTATAAAAAAAATAAAATAAAAAAAACCGCTCGTCCCTGGTCTAGGGTTCTTGTCCTTGCCTAGGGTTGGTAGCCTAGATTTCGTGTGAATTTTTCAGCAATTAATTCGTTGTGATTGTGGGTTTTCAATTCATTTTCTGTTCTACCTTGAGAATGGTTGACGACTTAATTAAAGAATGGGAGAAACTTCAATTGACAGAGGATGAGAATGTTGTAATTGGGGTTTCTCCTGTGGTTACGACTGCTGAGAACAATTTGTCTCAACTCCGTATGGCGCTTGTTGGGAAGTTGTGTACTGTAAAACCTTTTAACGTTGAAGCTATGAAAAAAACCTTGACTAATGTGTGAAGATTGAATGATAACATTGTCATCAAGATGATGGATACAAATATGTTTATCTTTCAATTTTCCAGTGAAGAGGACAAGCAGCAAGTGGTTGATGGCATGTTGTGGTTTTTCGATGATAAATTACTATTACTCTGTGAGATTAATGGTAATGAACAACCGTCTGAGATTGCGATCAACCGAACTCCTATGTGGGTAAGACTCACTGATATACCGATCAATAAACGAAGCCATGGTGTATTGAAGGAAATCAGTGACTCTCTGGGTGGATTTCTCGAACTAGATAAGTCAGACCCTCTTAGTTTGGGCAAATTTGTTTGAATTAAGGTGCTGGTGGATGTTCACAAGCCGTTGAGGAGAGGCCTATTTCTTGCAACAAGGGACTCGAAGCCGAAGTGGATTGATATCAAGTTTGAGCGTCTTTCTGATTTTTGCTATTATTGTGGTCACCTTGATCACACTGATAAGGAATGCGAAAAGAAGGAAGCAGAGGACGGTATAAAGGCCGAAGTAGTATACCAATACGGACCTTGGATGAGAGCTTCTCCATTGAAAATCACCCAATCTGCTCAAGTTGCCAGAGATATGGAGAAAAAGCTCTACGATAAGTTATGCTCAAACAAAGGTGGTCGCAAAATACTATATAATGATCCCGATGCAATAAAATTGGGTTCGGTTGGGGCTGCTAGAAAACTCAAATTTGCGTCGCCAAGGTCTGATGATAGTGATACTAGCCCTCGACAGAGAGAAGCTCGATTGGTGTTAGTAACGAATGAACATTCTCAAAAACTTGTTCTTCGTTCAAGAAGTGTGAATGCTGATAGTCAAGTAGAAGCAATGAAGGGTGGTGCTAATTTTGAGAATGTGGTTAAGGGTGAGGAAGCAGTTAGTGTTTGTCAGGGGGCAAGGGGAGAGGGCGTGTGTACTAATGCTGAAGGGCCAAGCCCTTGTGATGTTGAACTTAATAAAAATGTGAGTGTGGGGTTGTCTAGCAAAAATAAACACACTAATGGGAAAAAGGGGTGGAAGAGAGTGGAGAGAAATGGTGATGGGGATTATGTGATGGGTGATGTCAGACACTTAAATAATAGCAGTGCGGGGTCTAAGAGAGGGGCTGAAGTAAGGAATAGTGGAGAAAATGAGGAGGAACTTTCTGCCAAAAAATCAAAAATAATAAAAACTCATGATAACTCAATTAACGATGACGGGGTAAATCAAGTAGAGGGGTGTGGTGTATTCCAACCCCTCGAAGAGCAATGAAAATATTGAGTTGGAACTGTCAAGGGCTTGACAACCCTTGGACAGTTAAAGCTCTCTACGATTGGTGCTGGAGAGAGAAGCCAAATATAGTCTTTTTAATAGAGACTATGATCGATGAGGATAAGTTGGTTAGAGTTCGGAATAGATGTGGTTTTACTGATGGTATCTGTGTTAGTAGCAGAGGTAACTCTAGGGGTATGGGCTTTTGGTGGAGGGATGTGAAGGTGAATGTGAGTTCCTATTCAATCCACCATTTTATCTTAGATTTCTGTGATCATGAGAATAATCCCTGTTGGAGGGCGGTTGGGGTGTATGGGTGGCCGGAACAAGAAAATAAACATCTCACTTGGGCGATGCTCCGAAGAATCAAAGCTAGTAGTAATCTTCTTTGTGTAATGTTTGGAGATTTTAATGAGATTTTGAGTTTAGAGGAGAAGGAAGGTGGTGTTCCCCGTAGTGAGTCCCTTATGGATGCCTTCCGACATGCTATTGATGATTGCGGAATGAGAGACTTGGGGTATAAGGGCAGCATATTCACTTGGAAGAAGGGTAACTCCATGGCAACGTGGAAAAGGGAGAGGCTTGATCGATTTCTTGCGGATGGTGCTTGGTGTGATATGTTCCCACACTTTGAAGTACGCCACTTCCCGATCTACAGGTCGGATCATGCCCCAATTCTGATGAGTACAATCAATTATTATGAACGTGGAAGAAATGGAAAATCATTCAAATTTGAACCATGGTGGCTATCTAATGAAGAGTGTGAGAAGGTTGTTGAGGAGGCTTGGACTGGTTGTATAGGCTCACAAGTTGCTGGCCGAATTACTATGTGTGCTAGCAGCTTATCTTCTTGGTCGAGACGACGCTTTGGTGACTTGAAGAAAAAAATTAAAAAAACAGAAGGCAGACTCCAAGAAGTTCAGAAAATGGATCCGGATGCCAATATGCTTGAACAATTCCGCACCTTGTCTTGTAAACTTGATGAGCTTCATAGAATGGAGGAATTGTATTGGTTTGCCCGCACTAGGGCAAATGATCTCAGAGACGGGGATAAAAACACTGCATGTTTTCATCAAAAAGCAAGCAATTGGCGTCGGATTAATAATATCAAGGGCCTATATGATGATGGTGTGTGGAGGGAGAAAAAAGAGGAGCTCAAGGGGACCATTGCTGCATATTTCACCACTCTTTTTTAGACTTGTAATCCCACCGATTTTGAGTCTGCTCTTGCGGGCATTGACAATAATGTGGCAGAAGAGATGAATGAAAGCTTGTGTGAAGAGCCTACTACAGAAGAGATTAAATTTGCCTTGTTCCAGATGAACCCAAATAAGGCCCCGGGCCCCGACAGTATGCATGCTTTATTTTATCAAAAATTCTGGCATATTGTTGGGAATGATATCTGTTGTTTTGTGAAGAACCGGTGGCGGGGGGAATTGACCTTGGATGAAATTAATAAGACCTTGTGTGGTGTTAATTCCAAAATGTGATGACCCTAAACGTGTGGCCGAGTTTAGACCCATAAGTTGTTGCAATGTTGTATATAAAATTATCTCGAAAGTCTTGTCGAATAAACTGAAACCTTTTCTCGATAAAATTATCTCAATCAATCAGAGTGTTTTTATCCCGAAAAGGCTAATTACTGATAATGCCCTTATTGCTTTTGAGACTTTTCATGCTATGAAGAGAGGGGATGAAGGGAAAGATGGGTCAATAGCTCTGAAACTGGATATGAGCAAGGCATATGACAGGGTTGAGTGGGGTTTTCTGGAAAAAGTATTGTATAAAATGGGATTCTGTGATAGTTGGGTTCAAAGGATTATGGATTGTGTGTTAAGTGTCTCGTTTGCTTTTAAAATTAATGGGGAAATTTCTGGCTCTGTGGTCCCAACAAGGGGTCTTCGACAAGGTGACCCTATATCTCCCTATTTGTTTCTCATTGTTGCTGATGCGTTCTCGACAATGTTGTCCAAGGCCGCGAATGATAGATTGATCCATGGGGCAAGAGTGTGTAGGGGAGCCCCCCAGGGTATCTCATTTATTTTTTGTCGATGATAGCTTACTTTTTGCTAAAGCTACTGTTAGTGAGTGCTCGATGATAGCTGACATTATCAGCAAGTATGAAAGAGCATCTGGTCAAAGTGTCAATCTGACAAAAATAGATGTGGTCTTTAGCAAAGGTGTAATTGAATCCCGACGACGAGAAATCGTGGATATTTTGGGGGTGAGAGAAGTTGATAATCATGAAAAGTACTTGGGATTGCCGATAATCATTGGGAAATCGAAGAAAGCAATTTTTACCGCAATAAAGGAGAGAATTTGGTGGAAAATCCAAGGGTGGAAAGAGAAGCTCCTGTCTAGACCCGGAAAAGAAATTTTGATTAAGGCGGTTGCCCAGGCAATACCGACTTATATGATGAGTATTTTCAGAATTCCGGAGACATTGATTGATGGATTCATGCATTACTTGCTCGATTTTGGTGGGGGTCTACAGAGACTACTAGGAAAATACATTGGCACAACTGGGATTCTTTGTGTAAACCAAAATCGATGGGGGGTTTGGGATTTAGGGATCTCAAAGTGTTTAATCAAGCTCTCTTAGCTAAGAAAATGTGGACACTATACAACAACCCAAATCCGTTACTCCATGCAATACTCAAGGCTTGTTATTTCAAAAATAGTTCAATTTTGGAGTCTTATCGAGGTCATGATCCATCATACTCATGGAGGAGTTTATGGGGCAGCAAGGCTTTACTTTTGGATGGCCTTAGTTGGAGGGTAGGGAATAGAAGGGATATTAGGGTGTAGCTCGACTCTTGGATCCCTGGAATTGTGATTCCTACTCATGACACCAATTTCGTGTAGGAGTTTATAGGTACTACTCAGCGGAAAAACATGAATCATATTCATACAGTACCTAATCCCAAGATCTTAAGCATAACACATAAAGAACATATAATCGTACCTTTGAAGCGTGATTCCACGTGCAATCGAGCAAGAACAATGGGAGATAAAGAACCTCAAGCGTGATTCCTCTACTT